CAATGACAGAGTGCTTTTAATTTAGCACCCTCAAACCTCACATCTCACACACATAAATACAAGCAATGGGAGCTTAAAATCCATAACTGATAGTAATTTTACTTTGATTGCTGCAGGGTCATCAGCAAGTGTATATTAACCCTTCATAAAATAAGCATAATCATAAAATAAGCTTAAGTATTTACTGCAGAACCTGACATTTTTTTATCAGATTACTTGACACAATAAAGCATTACTAAAATAATAATTGGCTGCAGCACTAAAGTTTAATAAATATTTAAAAAAAAAACATTGATGAAGTTATTAGTGAARCATTGTGAAAACACTGCTGAAGTTGCACAATGAGATTGTATAACCAAAATGATTCCGGGAAGTCTGTAATTTTGGCATATTGTGTGTTTATTTTAAGAAATATAGCTATTTGGATTGTGTGTGGATGCTGGCAGCCCAAACACAAACACTCTTCTGATTGATGGTGTGCTCACTCTATTGTTTTATTCAGAGCTCACAGTTTTTGTGAATCCTTTTTGTCAGGCTAGAGTAACTGACAGTTTGTTTCATGCATTTAACCAGATTTGGTTAAATGTAACATTTCCTGATAGATGCTACACTATAGGCCCCAACATTTCCATTTTTGTTCTTATTTGGTCAAGGAAGAAAATTCCCAAAATTTTCTTTCTTTTTACATTACATAAAAACCCTAATGCAACTTACAGCCACTAGCATCTAGCTTTTTGAACGCAACGGAAACAAGTTAAATCAGCATCATGTGCAAAATGGCCATGCACTGGTCATATTTACAAGATTCAGCTCCTGCTGTTTTGATGTAAACAAAATACCTAAGCTCCACATAATCATTTTTAACCAAGGTGCTGTGATAGAGGCTGCAATTATGGGGCAACATGTGTAGGCTGTGAGTCAGAAGCAACATTTATTCAACGTGCACAAAAAGAGATTTTCAAGTTTTAACTGGCAGCGGGACCATTTACAGCTGTCATTTTCCTCTCTTTCGGTCTCTCCAAGTGATGAAAACGTGACTGATTTCATAGTCTAGTAAAATAAACAAGAAATAAACAAGCTAGATTATCTTAAGAGATTGTAATATCAATAAATTTTGTTCTAAACATGCTGGGTTTTGTTTGTAAAAGTGGTTCATTCATTGGAAATTTCTATTTTCCATAGCATTCATCTCATGTGGATGCTACAGTTGAACAAACTGCTTGTGTTGATCAGTTATTCAGGTTTATTTATTAGCAACATTTTGTGTCAAATTAACCTTTCTGTAAACAGAAGGTGTTCTTAGTTTTTCACACTCTGCAATCAGGCTTAGTTTTTTATCAGATAATTTGCTGTCATAAGCCATGTTTCCATCAAGGTTTTTTAATGCGCATTTTGAAGTATTGCATTAGAAAAGGTAAATGGAAACGGCATGATACGATAAAACTTCCTCTAATTCGCATCAAAGTTGATACGTTTGCTTAGGTGTTTTTTTAAGAGTTAATGCGCAAAAGGACAGATGGAAACACATTTGTCAAATAAGTTCTGGCGTTGCAAACATTTACCTCACATAGTTGATCAGCTGTTCTCGCTGTCTGTCTGAAACCGTTACTGGTACCAGAGCGACTGCAGCTGGACCCTCCTCCCGCTGTCGGCGTATTCTCAGTTATTCCCGTAACGTGAAGAGAATTGCATTTCTTTCTATACGTTTCCAGTAGGGGTGTAAGAAAATATTGAAACACTGAAATATCGCGATATTTCATTTCCCAATACTGTATTGATATTCTAAAGCCCTGTATCGATTTTTAATTAGGGTTTAAAATGTCAACCTTCTTGCCAACCATTCATTTTTATGTTGTAGTTCAGCCTGTGACCACTAATTAGCAGCAGTGAGCCAGCCATTTGGCTCCTCTACCTCTTGAGCGCCAGAGAGTAAGGGTAGCATTAGCATTGTAAGTAAACATTAGCTTTTTTTTTTTTTTTT